TCCCTCCCCTCTGTTCGAGTTCTGAAAGGGACCATTGTTTCCAGGTTTCAAGGTGGGCTCATTGACTTTCATGTTGCCATGGAACCAGCGTGTTTTTCCTCCTGAATGATACTTGTTTATAATCTCAGAAGCTTTTTTGGCAAATTAACACAGGTAATTTGTGAGTGGCCTTGGTTGGACTAAAGGCCACTGACGGACCTGTTTGATTAACCAGATGAAGAAATATAAGGAGTGAAAATAAAGTCCTGGGATAAGCCTTGGTTGAAAGAGGGAGGGCAGATAACCTGAAATGCTGTTAACTCCCAGTTTTTTATTCTATGTTACACAGAAAGGCTGATGTTGGATTTACATGCTGGTAGGCTTAAATACAAGTAAAGCAAGTAAAGCTCTCTTAAAACTTAGAAGTTAAAATCCACAGCAGTACTGTGGACTTAACTAGATGAAAAAGGAAGAGGTACTTTTGATGGTAATTCATGACCTACACAGTTAAAAGTAAAATGATGCTAACTTTGTTTAATAAAACCTATGCATACATTTACATATTTTCCTCAATACTTACCAACATACTGTCTAATACAACTGTGTTTAAATATTTAGATGGAATAGTTTTTCTGCTGAAAAATGCTGATTCAGTGAACTCGAGGAATTTGAGGCAGTGGACCAATTTTTGTTGACATTTTGTACAGGAAATTATAAATGTTTTGATAAAATCAAAACACTTTGCATCTAGTCCTGTCATAGAACTTTCATGTTTAGACATTCAAATGAAGATTGGATGTTTTCCTAAAAGACACATTGTAGTTCAAACAGGAATTAAATTGGGAGATGGTACAAGATGATTGCAGAAGTCCCTCTGATTTTGTAGCAGCTGAAAATGAGTATCTGACTCTTCAGCTGGGAGGTTCATTCTGGCTGAGGCCAGGTTGGTCTGGTACCGCCAGCTTTGAGCCAGGGCTTAAAAGAACTTTGCTTGGGCCCAGACTGACTCCTGTAGTTCCACTCACGAGTCTTTGTGCCACATTCCCCGGCAGTCCGGAAGAGAGAGAGATTAGAGATGAGGTGGCATGATATGAAGGCAGGGTGCCAGCATCAAGCCAGTAAACCATCCTGCTGGGGAAAGAAGCATAGCATCACTGTGAATGAATCTGCTTAAGTCTGGCAGTGCTGCCCAGTTCCAGTTCAGTGCTGGGAATGACGGTCTTGGGCTGTCAGGGTGGGTGATAAAGGTGCGTCTCAATTTGGCACTTAGTAAAACATGGTGGTTTTTCAACAGTATTGTGTTAGACACATTTTCTATTGGTTCTGAGATAGTCCTTGAATTGCTGAGCATGCTCTCGTCTCATTGAATCTCTATGGGTTGCTCAGCACTTTGTAGGACTTGTCCCTGGTGGGACCAGTGTCAATAGAAACAGTTCCTTTCTCTGCCTGGCATTTTCTCTGTGAGTGATATCAGTTGGAAATATCCGAGTCTGTTTCTTTAAGAACATCTGTTGTTTCATGTCACAAACCATGGTATTTTTCAGCTGGAGCCAGTGTAAAAGTTAGAATCCAGTTTACCAATTAAGGAAAAAATGGAGTAGTCTTTTCTTAAACCAGTACAACTTGAAATACTGTGCAAATGAAAGTTTGGTCCTTTTATGTCTGTGGTCACCTGCTTTTTTATTATCTCTCCAGTTTAAATTCTGTAGTCTATTCCATTTTTATGTCCAAAAGTTTCATGCTAAAAGAACATGGGACAATGAGGCAGGCTGTACAAAAACTTATAGGAGAAATTAGTAACCAATATAGAGAAAAATTGTTTGTTCTTCCATTAGACTTTCTACCTATATTTGTCATGTTACTATGATGCTTGTAGAAAAAAAAAAAAAAAAAGCTTCTTAAGTTGGCAAAGTCCTTGAAAAAAGTTGTTTGGAATAGTGTGAGTGTTCATTTCTCAGAAGAGACAGCTGTGCTTAGCTAGCATGTTGTACAACTAGACAGTAAATTTTTTGCTCATAGCACTAATCTTCATTCCTTCTACACTTTTTCATGAACTGTTGGATTTGCAGTTCTGAGTGATAATGTTCAAGGTTGGATATTAAATTACCAAGAATATTTTAGTAGTGTGCTTTCTACATTGCATATACAGCATCTCTCAGTCTCATTGGTAGGTACTGTATGTGTATTGTAGATCATCCATTATCACGTTATGCCTGACAGCTAAGAACAAATAAATGCACTCAAATTAAGAACGATTTAGGACATTTTGAAAGCTTAAGATGAGTTTTTTGGTGGTACTGATTCTGTCAGATAGTATACTATGACAGTGTCTGTTCTGATCATTAACGCGCTCTTTTTTTAATCTTTTTTTTTTTTAGCAGAACTTATTTTGAATATGGTGGCAACTGCTTCTTAAATGAGAAGCCTTACCTCCAAGTCCTCCATGTTGGAGCAATTCTAACTCTCCATTATAATGCTGAGGGATTGCTCGAGGGAGAGGATTTATAGAAACAGGTCATAAGATGTTGTTTTCAGTGAAATTTTGTGATTTTTTTTTTTTTTTAACACCACTGTATTGGTTTTCCCTGTTTAGGTGACATCTGTCCATTATTAGCTCTAGTAGGTTTCGGGGAAGATGGGTCAAGGTAATGCCTTAAACAGAATGAACATGTTCTTACTACAAACTAACTTAAGTAAGTAAACATACTTTCTTGCTTGGACTTCCAGAATCAAATAATTGTTTAGCCTTGCCCGTTTCTTTACGTTAATTGGTTGAGACTTCATTTTAGCTGCTTTTACTTCCTGAGCTGCTTTTTGTCATCCACCCATAGGAGAAGCCCAGGCAGTATGTCTTTAGTATCCAGTAGGTATATGGGGATTAGAGGGTTAAGCGTTTTAACAGGTCACCATTTCAAACAGTTGCTTGCAAGGGCACACACCTATTGATAAAGATCTGTGCCTTTGGCAAAAAGGAGTTCTGGAGATTATATTAAGTAGGCATTTCAGTTCTAAATTGCATCAGACCCCACAATCTAATTTTGTAGACAGTTTTAGTCCTTCTGATGAAAGATTTTCCTTTGCATGGTTTAGTAAAGACTGAAAAAAATATTTCTTCAAATTTCATATCAGGTTCTGTGACACACTAGACACATCTGAAAGTTGATGTTGCATATGCTTACTGTGTGCCTTTTCTTGTCTGTAAGAGAATCTGAAGACAAAAGCCTTGTTTTCCATCCCCACACCTAAAAAATAATACAGGAAACCAAAATTCTAAAAAATACATGTTACATATATAGAGAAAAAAGAAAATTAAAATATTAAATTAATCCTTTGCATTGTTTTCAATTTGTGGAGTTTTGATAATGATGTCTCAAGAGAGTATCCTTTCATATTTTTCTTAGCAGTTGCTAAAAATAGTTTCCTTTTGTCTCAGTTTTTCCTTCCCTTATCCCGTACTAACTGTGACATTTGTTTTTGTGCTTTGTAATATATCATTCTAAAGCTAATAGTTTGCTTGGTAACTAGACACACACTAAAAAATAGGATACTTGTAAATAAAATGATACATTCATTCTGCCAGTTCTATGTTTTGCCCTTTTTTGGTTTCCTTAGTAGAAATGTTTGTGGCACACATTGTCTCAGATTTAATCAGTACCTATTCCTCAGCAAACATACTCTCGTCCTGTCAAAATACTGCATCAAGCTATACCTCCTCTGATGTGTGTAATCTAGATAAATTTTACAAAGGCATTTTGTCTTTTCCTGTTCCAGACAGGTAAGATTATCCGTAACGGAGATTGTACATTTTGTCTTGGCAGAAGTTTGCAACATCCACAGTTGATGAATAGACATCCGCTCTGCTTAGAAGTGTTACTTGAAATTAAATAGGCCAAAGAATAAATTAAATATATGGGTACACAATGGAACTACTTAAATTTCCTTTGACATTTTATAATTGTTTATCTTCGTTTATATTTTCTCCCTTCTTCGCTTCTCCTTTATCAGTGTCACTAGGAAAAGGAGTTAGCATGATAGCCATGGTCTTCTCCAACGTGTGGAACGCATCCTTTTTTGGTTTCTCAAGTTGTTGTCTAATTTACATCTGGCTTAACCGTGTAGTAATGTACTCACTGGGTAGACAGGAGAGGAATCCTTAAGCAAATCGGTTCTGCCCTGCAGGGAAGGGCTTGACTGGCTAAATTACAACGAAGAGTTGTTTTACCATGAAAGGACAGTTTGGTTGCCTTCTCTTGCAAAGCCAAAGCCTCAGTGAAATGAGAAAGGCAGCCCAGAAAATCAGTCTGAACTAAGAGCTGTAATACTAAATACAACATCCTGTTGTGCACATTATGTGCTCTATGTAAGTATGATGAAAGTGGAGTTATTCTGTAGTAAGAAAATTCCTGGTTGATTTAACATCTTGGATTCATTAGATACATCACAATCCTCACAGTCATGAGTGATCATCTTAAATGACGGTGGTGCTACGTTCGTTCTGCACACAGGTCCAACCAGGCTCAAAGAGAGGGTCCAGGAACCTTTCCCAGGGGCTATGCCATTGCTCCTCTACAGAGCAGAAAGAAGTGCAGAAGAACACACTTTCATTTAGAGGTTCCGCTGCAAATTTTGCTTGCCCCCATCTTTGAATTTCCGGGGCCCAGGATCAGGTCCCCACAGAGTTGTTGTATGAAAACAAAGCTAGAATAGGGGAACTGAGAAGGCAGGAGCTGACTCTCAAAGCAACCCAGAAGTACGCTGCTAGGGGGGATAGGGAGGAAGTAGACTTGGCCATAGCTCTGTTTCCACTGGGTGGGTAGAATTTGAAAAGGGTTTTGTTTCTGTTAATTAGAAGTCTTGAATTCCCAGCCTTGGGTCCTCCAACCCCTTGTTATTCTTCACTGCCTGTTCTGGAGTTCTGTCTGTTTCTTGCACCCCTTCAGCCTTGCCATTTGTATCTGCATTTTGGGATGTTACTTGCTTTTGCTCGCTTCCAACTGATGACAGTTGTTTTATTTGCACCCATGGGTTTGAAAAAGCTCCTTTTCATTGCGAATGCTGCTCAGGTAAAACTTGAAAGGCCACAAGGAATCTGTTGATGTAGATGGAAGCTGGGAAGGAAGTTTTCTCTGTAGAAAACCTGCCTGGTCTCTGGCTGCTTTTCTGCCTTCCCAGCTGCTCAGCAGCCTTGGCCTCCAGGCTCTTGGTTTCACATGCTGCTGAAACCTGATCTCCTGGGGCTTGCTGCAGTGCCAACTGGTGTGCCCAGAATTCTTTTTCCGATGTTAAAAACATCCATTTTATTTTATCCTGAAAAGACTAATTTTTCAGGATTTTTTTTCCTAACCTTTGTTCATATGGAATGAAAAAAATGTCTGAAATGTAGTATTTCCAGTAGATAAAACTTTTGCCCTCCCTCTCTCCTCCCAGAGATGGCTTGTTTGAAAAATGCTTTGCAGGACCACCACTGTGTTTGTAGAGGACTTTGAGATAAATGTGCTTATAGATAAGCTGTGTTTAGAAACATACGGTTATCATCATCAGTATGATAGAAGGACTCATCAAAGTCACTTTACTGTCTACAACTGTGGCTAGAAAAGAGAATTACTTTAATAAATCCATGCTTAGTTATGTAAGCCTGCTTGCATGGTGATATAATCAATCTCAAATGCATAGTCTTGTTTTTTTTAACGTAATTTAATTTTCCTGATTTTCAATCTGTTGCTTACTCTTTGTATTTCTGATATTTTTGTAGTGTTGGAAAATTTTTAGTTGCCAACTGATTTATCCTCTGTTAGGCACTAAATGGGAAGCCTTTGGACTTCAAAGGGCATTTAGACTGCATTTGCAGCTTGGATGGGCCTTTTATGAAACTTTTCTTTTGCAGAGTTGTAGGGCTACAGAAGAACAACATGTCCAATTTTAGTCTTTTATTATTTTGAATTTGTTCACTTGTTTTAAGGTGCATGCAGGAGTATATGCAGTTTTAAGGATGTACTATATGCATCATTCATTATTTTTCATTTTAACATAAAGGAACTGATTTTTCACTGACGTTTATGCTAGCACATACATTTGTAGATGGTACAGCTGACCCGGTGGCATCTTACCTTTCTGATAAAGGGTAAATGACCAATCAAGGTTGCAAAGTAGTTAGCAGCCAAGAGACAACAGTTGTATGTTCCTGGGAGAAAAACTTATTCTGACTTGGTAAGCCCACTCCCTGAAAATAGAAATAGTATACTAGAAATAGCATAGGGGATAGAGGAGCAGCTCCAAAGATGTTTACTTAAAAAAACCCCATTTTTCTTAATTATGCTTACTACTATGGTGCCCAAAGGTTAGTTAACAACAAGGACCCATTGTGCAGTGTCCAAAACAAACATAAGAGTAGCAGACATCTTTTTTCCCCCAAAGGAGAGTAATTTCTCAATGGTGCTACTCTTTGAAGCATTTTGTGGGTGGAACACAAAGTGCTTCCCTAGTTTCTTTTGCGATTTTATTAACCAAGAACACACAAGGTGCTTGGTACTTTCCAGAGTCGATGTAGTAAGTCTTTACTAGAAAGCTTGATGAACATGACACAGTGGGATGCCTCACTGTGCTATTTGCAATGGGTTTAGTCTATTCTTGCTTCAGTCAATGATAAAACCTCCAGGGATTTTAGTGAGGAGGCATCCAGGTACAAGCCGGCTCATATTTGCAGGATCACAGAGTACAAGGTGAACAGAGATTAAATCACTAAATGGGGAAAGAAAGCAAACCGGTGAATCTATAGAGATAGAGGTTAAAGAGTTAATCATGTTGGTACTATAACAGGTAGTCTTCTGACAGTTCCAGGAGATAGCTGCATATGGTTGTATTTAGGTAGACTATAATTATATAAACTTTCAGCTGTTTGGGCATTTTGGTCCTTTTGTAACTTGTGATATAGATCTTCTATTTAAAAAATAGGATGAAAGGTTAAGTGAGAGAAAATGAGTTGGCTGAGTTGTTTATCTGTCCCATCCCAAAAAGAAGAATGAGTGACCTTGATTTAGATATTGTACGTGAACTGGAAAAGCTGGGTAAACTTTATGCCTGTGGGCCATAATACTTTGCTAACGAAACCATTTCTGTACATGGGAGTGGTCCTTAGTTGGTTCCACCCTGTCTGCAGCTGATGTGTGCCATCCTATTTTAGAAATTTAATCTAGGGTAGGTATATTAGTAACCTGAACAGACAAATGCCACAGCCGTAACCATTAATTTGGGATACAGGCGGAGCTAATTGTTTATGTATAAAATGGAAATGCCCAACCCATCTGTGTATAATTTCCATTATTTATGACAGACTCCCAGCTGTAGGTTTCTTGCTACAGGAATGTTTTTTAAAGTAAACCCAGTTCTTAATCACTCATTTTCATTTTCAAAACTGTAGTCCTCTGGTAATTAAGGATGGGATATCAGAGTTGCTTAATCAGTGTCTATTGATAATGTGACAAGGAATTTGAGTCCAAGGCATTGTGTGAGACTGGTTGGTGCAGATTTGGAATCCCTACTGCAGTTATTAACAGGAGTGCTTGCATTCCCTCCCCAAAATATGGATTTTTATGTAAGAACTATTTGTCAAAATAATGTGGCCGTTGAAGTAGTCCTAGGCATTTTTATCATGTACCATGTCATGGGGAGGGATACAGGGGGTTTTCTGTGTATGTATTCTGGAAATACTGGTGGCATGAAAACGGCTATGGCTAAACCAGGATTATTTTTGTCACTTTGCTGTGGAGAAAAGTAGCTATCTAGGTATTTTCAATGTCTATGGAAATGTGCATATTTGGGTATTCAGTGCTGAGGGGAACCTTTTCCTAATCCTGACAAGGAAGGATTCTGGAATATTCCAAACAGTTTATTTTGTCCTTTGGGTTAATCACAAAAAACCGTGTGCCACATTCCAGCTAGAAGCTACATGGCATATTTATTTAAAATAAAAGTGTCAAATAAAAGAGTGAGTTTCACACACTTCCCTCCCTGCATTTTGGACTAACACTGCTTCTGTTATGCTAGTAAAGGTATTTTCATCTTTCTCAAGTTGATAATTCCTGAAGAGGGAATAGTGCAATTTGTTTTTTCTTTCCATGTCATGTTCAGAGTCATCCCTAACAGGGAAGGGCAGGCAGTTGTACTGCTTTGGTCAGAGGGCAACCATTGTGGGAGCTGAGGCAAATCGAGGAGGCTCTCATTTTTTTGTGCAAGAAGAGAGGTAATGCCTACTTTTTTTTTTTTTTTTTTTTTTTCTGGATTGCTCTATGCTTAGGTAGATGTCCTGAGGGCCGTTTCTGAGGCCCTCACTGAGCAAAGCTAGCATGTGCCTAAGTTGATTTCTGTTTGGCAAGGCATTCAGCTATGTTCTTTGGTCTCATTGGAAGTCATCAGAATTAAGCAAGGATCTTAGCGCATTGTGGAATGAGTCTTTCAATGTGTTTTCACTAAAGATATGTTTAACAGTGTACAGCAATGTGGAGCCTTGCTTTTGGGAAGGTCGTGTTTTCATTAGGGAAATAAATTAAAGTAATAGTTAATAAAGAGATTCAGAATACTGCTGATATGTGTACTGTATGTGCACAAAGTTGAACCAAAGCAGAACTAGGGGAATTTTGGCTATTTCTTTTGCCACTGGTTGATTTACTTTGTTTAGGAGAGAATTTAATGGAAGAAACTGGCATGAAAATAATTGAAACCAACAGTATTCTTTTGCACAGGATTGGTGATGTCTTCAGGAAGGGATGGTTACACAAGTTGTACTTCTTTGACAATACCTTGAAGGATGCAAACAGAATAGCAAAGGAAAAGGAACCTGACTAGAATCATTGCAAGTGTTGTTTATTCAAGTGCAGTGATGATTAACAGGCTGTAGCTCTCATTTTACAACTTCCATCTCTGTTTTAGACAGTGTTTTGATGCTGGCTGAGTCAGCTGAGCCCGCAGACCAAATTGTCTGAGTGCAGAAATGGCTCAAAAGCCACTTCTGTTAAGAGGCTCCACTCGTGTTCATAGCTACGCATTTCCTTGTGCTCATCCCACTCTTCACTGTCTCCCCAGGAGATAGATCAAGCATCCTTATATCAGCTGTCTCCCATACATAAGGCTATATTGACCCCTAGTGTAACTCCATCAGAGTAAGCAGTTACATCAGAGATAATTTTTTTCTCTGACTCAAATCCAAAAGATACAGAGAGAGATTAGTAGTTAGCTTTGGAGTGGAAGGTCAGATGCAGCTCCCTCCCTCGCTTCTTAATCCACCAGCATTTTGCCAAGAGCATCACTAAACGCGCAGCCAGTTTCTACCAGTGTTTTCCTTGGGTTTTACCGCTTGATTGTCAGCTGTGGAACTTTCATTTAAAAACATGGTTTTTAGCAGATGGCTTTGGGGAATTTGAAAATAAGATGCAAGTAATAAATTGCTGCCATATTTTCAAAGTTGGTGGTCTATGTTGTCTATAAAATCGGAGGATGAATCACAGTGGACGCATTCCAGTTTACCTTCTGGGACATGTTTTGCTGATAAGTACTATGAGCATTCCCTTGACTTTTGGTGAAGATTTTCCTTCTCTAGTATTTTTAATTGTTAGAACTGTTTACAAGATGAAGGAGCTGAGTCACTTTCAGGGCTGATGCTTGTCTACTGGCCCAGCTGTATCTGGAATGAATTCAAAACTGTAGAAAGGTAATAAAATTGTAGATAAGGAGTTGTTGTATTCACCTCAGTTATATAAGACTCTGGACAAGCATTTTAGTTGAAATGGATGAAGTTACTCAAGTTACTATGTTCCTGATTTCTGTTGCAGTTGAATAAAAAGCTTTTGTATTCAAAACCTGACTATACCATTTAGAAAAAATGTCTTTAACGAGTGACTTCTCATGCCACAGAACTTTGTAGATGTTGAGTATAGAAAAGCAGGCTTGAAAATCTCAGTTGTTGTTGGAGAGCAATGCCCTTATAAAATATACTGAATGCAAGATTTCCCCCCCCCCCCTTTAAAGAAAAAAAATGTCCAGATTATGTTTGACAGGGGAATGGTTAGTT